TCCGACTCTTACTCCCTAAGGCAACGCATCGTGCCTAAGTATTTTACATGATGAAGATTCTTTTAGCTTTTTCCTCATTCTTTTTCTTGATTTCTGAGAAACACTAGAAGTTTCAGCAATTTCTTCAATTCTATCTGATGCTATTGGTATAAGTTCCATGTTTACTTCATTTTCGTTGTTGCTTATCATTGCAAAAGGTAACAAAAAACTTTGTTGGATTGTGTGTTGGTTGTCAATTTGCATTATTAGCTATCCTTCTTCTTCTTGGTCATTGATAAACTAGTATGAATTTATTGGGGGAGTGGGTAATTGTTCCAGTATTATAGATTCTGAAGCAGCTATAATGTTAGAAGGTTGTTGCTCATTGTCTACTTCCATTATTGGCTGTCCTACTTCATGTTGATAATCAGCAAAAGGCTCTGAATCTATTGCATATGCAAGAGATTGTTTGAATGCTGCAGATTTTGAATGTTTTATTTTTTTTATGACGAAATGGCAATTCTTGTAGGCTGAATCAGTTGTAAGCAAATGTATAGAGGTACTGAGTTCTTCATCTGAAGTTACAAGCATTCCTTTGCTTGTATTTAGTTTGATATCAAACCATATTTTTAGTGAATATCTGCTTGAATCAATATTTGTAACTTCACTAATTTTCTTCAGGAAAGTTTTGAATGATATTTGCTTATTAAATAGAACAAGTTTTGTATCATGATCCAAGTGTTTGAAATCAAGAGTCCACCTCCCATTGAAAGTAATAACAACGCAAATCGAACTCATCCTGCAGAAGCAAGTTTAGTGGCAAGTATTAGGAAAGTGAATAGAAGAATTTAATTATGAAGTTCATAAAAAATCTAAGCATATTGAAGCTGAAGTTGAGCAAATGTACTAGAACATTTTCAGCTCGTTTATAGTGAAGTTTTCGGAAAAAAAATCTCATGAAGAAGGTGATTAATGGAGGACAAAACTTGAGCATAAACTAAATTTAACTTCAGCATGCAGGAGAAAATTACATAGTGCAGGAGAAAATCTTTTAGGTTGCTTGTCCTGAAGTTTTTACAAATGAACTAAATCACTTAAGCATCTTCTGCTGAAGTTTTTTGAAAAAAGATGTATGACAGGATTAATGAATCGAGGGACAAAAACTTCAACTTATTAACTTCAGCACATTGGGCTGAAGTTTTTTGAAAAAGCTTTACAACAAAAACTGTTGAATCCCGGACAAAAACTTTAGCTTATCAAGTGCTGAAGTTTTTTAAAAAAGCTTTACGACAAAAACTATTGAATGCAGGACAAAAACTTCAGCTTATAAGTGCTGAAGTTTTTTAAAAAAGCTTTACGACAAAAACTATTGAATGCAGGACAAAAACTTCAGCTTATAAGTGCTGAAGTTTTAGAAATGAACTTAAATAAACTTCAGCATGTTTCAGCATTAATTGCATAGTATACAGGAGTAAACGTAACAAACACAATTGAAGCAGTAATTATATTGCATTGAGGGTATGTGTTAGTGTAATAATTGCATTCCTATCACATTCATGCACGTTTTTTATTAGACAACGTCTAAAATTCCTCTTTGCCTTTTCAGATACCATGCAGAAGTTTTTTGCACCTATATAAGAACGTTATACCTTGTTAGTTTATTCACTCAAACACATATATTTTAGAAGATAAAATATATAACGGAGAAAAATGGATGTTGTAATAAGGCAAATAGTTGACGAAATTAAACAAGACATTATAGAGGCTTTTGAGCTAAAACTAGATGAGCTCATAGACAAGTACGACAGGGAGCTGGAAGAAATCAACAACAAGCTTGATACGCTTGTGATGCTGGCACAATTTGATAATCTTGGTGATGACGGCGCTCGTCCATCGTCCAGTGACGACGACGATCACGATATGGATGATTAGGCTTTTTTTTGGATAATCCTTTTAGTTAAAGGATTATTATGTTATTTCCTTTATCTGTAATTTTAATTTATGTTTTTATGTTTTAATGGAATATTCTATTTTTATTTTAAGTTTTTTGTTCCCTTTTTTTAATATTAATTCTCTTCAAACTTGAAAAATAAAAGAGAAAATGAACTAAATAACTTCAGCAGGAATTAACAAAAACTCATCCGAAAATTAAACATTTTTTGGTATGAAGTTTTTCCAAAAAATCATAATAAAATACATAGTGCAGGAAGAAAACTTCAACTCCCATTACTGAAGTTTTCAAGAATGAAAAATTTCAGCATAAAATGCTGAAGTTTTGTGCAATATGTAATTTTAATTTATGTTTTATTTTATTTAATGAAAATTGATGTTTTTGTATTAATATTTTCTTGCGTTTTTTTAATAATAATCCCTTTTAAACTTAGAAAATAACAGAGGAATTAACAAAAACTTATCCGAAAATTACATATTGTAGGACAAAATATTAAGCATGTTTTAGCAGATGAACCAAAAAAAATTCAGCATACTAAAAATTATATGAAAAATATTTTACATATTCCGGAAAACTTAAGCATTTTTTAGTATGAAGTTTTTCCAAAAAATCATAATAAAATACATAGTGCAGGAGAAAAGCTTCAGCTCGTTTTGCTGAAGTTTTCAAGAATGAACTAAATTTTTTTATCATTTTCCTGAAGTTTTTAAAGATGAACTAAAAAACTTCAGCATAGGTGCCGAAGTTTTTGTGCAATATTAAATTATAATTTATGTTTTTATTTTTTACCCAGTGTAGGAGGAAAACTTTAGCTAGTTTTGCTGAAGTTTTTAAAGATTAACTAAAAAACTTCAGCACCTATGTTGAAGTTTTTGTGCAATATGTAATTTTAATTTATGTTTTTTTTTTACCCAGTATAGGAGAAAAACTTCAGCTCGTTTTGTTGAAGTTTTTAAAGATTAACTAAAAAACTTCAGTACATATGCTAAAGCTATAAATACTCTAAAACTACAGCTCGTTTTGCTGAAGTTTTTAAAGATGAACTAAATAACTTCAGTTTTATTAGCAAATAAACAAGACATATACTTCAGCATATGTAAAAACTTAGCTTGTTTAGCAAATAAACCAAAAATTTCAGCATATTATGCAGTGGAAAACTTCAGCATATTTGAATTTGTCGGATTAGAATGTTAGAATTCAACGTGAAACAGATTTAGAATGCAAATTCAGCATATATATGAAGAGTTCATGTTTCATCCGTCAAATAACTTCAATCAATCAATCAGAAAACATATATCATGAAATCAATCGGTTTCAAAAACTATTTTGAATTCTGAAGATGAATTTGAATACTTACAATGTATTTTGTAATTTTGAATTTGGAATTTGAATCTGGTTCAAATCTAGTTTGCGAGAGGCGATATGAGGAGAGACGGAGTGATGGAGGAGAGACGGAGGCGATCTGGAATTTGAATCAAGTATGCGTGATGCATCTTTTATATGTTTTGGAAGGGGTATAATGGTCATATTAATACAAATTTTTTGTTAGTTGGTTACGAAATCAATAATTTTTAAAAATAGGGTATAGATTAAAAGGTGGCATAAATATAGGTTATGACTACAAATCGCCCGTCCAAGCAAGCACAAAAGGAGCTCCGTCAGCCATGAACTTTCTGGATCGTTCTGGACCACGTTGACCGACCCGGATCCGATTGGTGACGAAAGCGCGTATGTCGCACCTCCACGGCTTCCTTTAAGATCTAGTTTCACACATGAATTAGGAAAGCCGACTTGTAATTTATTCTGTCTTATTGCCCAAGCCAGCACCTATAAGTCCTAAACTCTTATATATAGCCATGAAAAATCCATTCTGGGAAAAATTCCGACAAGGAAGAGAAGAAAGAAAAGCGAAGGAGAAAAGAAAAACATGGGAGGAGGAACAGAAGCTTTTCCAGATTTAGGAAGCCATTGCCAACATTCTGATTGCCGTCAGCTCGATTTTCTTCCCTTTACCTGCGATGCCTGTCAAAAGGTTTTGCTACTTTTTCACCTCTTCACCTCCCACATAGGATTTTGTGAAAAGCAAAATTTATTCCTCAATATTCATAATGTTTGACTCTTTCCGTTATATTTAATTGAGAATGATTATATTCTTATGGTTAGCAAACCTTCTTTTATCTGTTTTTTAACTTAACGAAACTCTGTCTGGAATGAATTACACGTATCAAAATACTTAAGAGATAATATCAACATATGTTATACTTTAATTTAGAGCTTCGTTAAAAGTCAAGAGTAAATTCGTGACAGATTTGCCAACATAAGTGTACTATGGTTCCAAAGTATAACCGATATTTCGTATAGTTTTTTGAGCCTTTTTTTTTTTTATCTCTATTCAATTCTCCGTGCAGATATTTTGTGTAGAGCACAGATCATGCAAGTCTCATGAATGCCCAAAATCCGATATTAACAGCCGAAAAGTTCTGGTTTGCGAAATCTGTTCCATGTCTATTGAAACTACTGGTTGTCAAGGTGAAGACGATAAAGTGCTACTGCAAAAGCACGAGAAATCTGGGGATTGTGATCCCAAGAAGAAGAAGAAACCTACCTGTCCTGTGAAGAGATGCAAGGAAATTTTGACATTCTCAAACACCAGCACTTGCAAGAGTTGCAGGATTCAAGTTTGCCTCAAGCACCGGTTTCCTGCTGATCACGCCTGCAAACGGAATTCTTCATTATCCCAGCTGTCAGCTAATAACAAGTTTTTGATTGCTCTGACTGCTAGGAGTGGGAATGATTGTGGGAATAAAAGCCGCGCATCAACTTCACGCCCCACCACCCTTTCTGTTAAAGCTTGTTGATTGTTTCAGAAAGATTGCTATACATTTATCAATTGTCATTTGTAACTATTACCATCATTTAAGTGCTCATTAATTTGTTTACATTGTTTTTTTTCCTCTTTCCAGAACAAACCCAAATGTGAAAGAATGACCCTACAATACCACAAGGAGGGAACAATCTTAAATTCAGAACAGCATCCTACCATGTTCTCATTCTTTTCTCATACGCTTGATAGATAGCACTTCCTCCATTTCAGTTTATATGGCCATCTTTGATAAGGCGCACAGTTTAAGAAAATATTCTCCTCTTGAAAAATTTTCTCTAAAATAAACATCAAACAAAGAAAATGATGTAGCTGTTTTACGCCGCCCTCTTCCGCCAAAAACAAAGAGAATTTTAATGCTATACACAATATTCTTCCAATACTCCGGCATTTTAACACTGTCCTTTATATACATTTCCCAGGAACAACCAGTTCAAAACCTTCAGCTACAAAACAATTCCAAGCACTGCATTCAACAAACATAACTACCTTCCTACCACCTGCGTCATTGCTCTTTTATTTTGGGGAAGCATAGCTAGGAGAATCTTCTTCCTCGGTCCCTGCAAATACCCCAGAGTGCAACAATTAAGAGCAAGTATTATCAAAAATTGAAGAGGCACTTGGAGCCCATTGTGCCTTTTCCACACCCTAGACTACAATTCACGTATGAACAAAGAGAAGTTAAGCCCCTCTCCACACCCCCAACGAGAAAAGTATCCGTTTCTCTTCTGTTGAAGAGAGTCATTGTGCTTAGCAAAATCAGCATATATTGACTTGCATTCTAATTTGTAATGACTTTTTTTTCCAAAATAAGATGACTGAAATGACAATTACCATAGGTATCCCCAACTCCTTCAGGTCACGGTCCCCCATTTGCTTCAATGCAGCCATGTCTATCTGCGATGGGTAAACAGACTTCACTAAGAAAAGACTTAAACTAGGATCTCTCAAATTCTTGGTGAAGTATATAAAACCACTCAAATGACAACAAAAAGTTGATGCATGGCAACAAACAGATAAAAGAGATGGACTGATAATAAAGTTGAACTATGTCACAAAGGCATGATTGGGCGAAATAGAGAATGCTTGAGAATGTTATGGGTCAATGGCACACCTTTTAATAACGAATAGCAATGAGGCTTCTTTCCTATACACAATGACACATCAAGATAACAAGTAAAAATCTCGGATTAGAAAGCCATGATGAGCTTATGGCTAAAAAGGGAGGATATCATACGAGATTAAGAGCTTGATACCGTGATCACAATAAACAAAAAACAAATACCGAAAGATTTGTCATGTCACATGTTCATAGCACGCTACACAAGGTATTCAGCAGTAGCTCTTCAACTTCTCTGAATAGTAAGCAGTGTGCTAACTGTAGGATATGGGTGCAATAGCGATCAACTAGCTCTTAATCAAAGAAAGCCTTCTTTACCAAGAAATAGAAGGTTCTCCATCCAACAATATGATACTTAATGCATGATGTTGTTACTTTTGCAATGAAATGCTAGTTCGGATTTAAAGCTTCTATGCCATAGTACCAGTACTGATAATAAAAATGTTCACAAGGCTGAGATGATGCAATAACAAGGAGACCATGACAAAACCAAAACACATGATTCATCACATAACAAGAGTATTGTTCACCTCCTCAGCTTGAAAGTGGATAGCATACTTTCCCAAACCAAGGGAATTTAATAGACTGACCACGGTCACGGGGCGTTGATCCTGTACAACACCAGATATAAAAATATTAAGATCTTTGCATAAACTCCTGTCCATTTTCAAATATTTGTTCTCTTTTCTCCTCATTCCAAGCGTAAAGGGAAATAGTACAACTATAACCACAATAGCTGTGAAATGGTTGAATTATGAGAGAAGACATAAAGTATGAAGAATAACAACTAATTCAGTCCTATTTGACAAGCAAAGTAGAAGAAATTGACATGGGAATAAACAATTTGGAAGTTTTCAAAAGCATTCAAACGATTCAAACCCACTATACTTTAAATACCAGGAACATGGATGCAACCAATGCCTTGACACTTCCTATATGTTGCAGAAGACAGGGGAATAACAATGTGATGAAAACTTCCTCTGATAAATGATAATAGTAAAACAACAGAGACAACAATTTCAAACGAGCATTAGCAACCAAGGCATTTTAGAACATGGTCTAACAATGCCAAAACTACTTAACTTTCATCAAACATTTGATACTTAAAATATAAGCAGTGCTAAATTCCAGCATACAGGGAAAATATAGACAGCAATCTGGACAGACGAACCATTTATTTGTGCACTAGAACCAAGCAAGAAGAAACATCTATCGTCAAAAATGATCTGCTAATTTGAGTAAGCTGTTTGTGGTATTCACCAGATAGACAATAACTACAGAGGCTAGAGCAAACATCATGATCTTGAATGTCATATAGAATCTGAATGCCTAATTTTGCATTCTCCAGTTGAAGTCAAAATGTAGTGTCCGTGATACAAAATAAGACTAGATCTGTACCAGAAATAATACAAGATAGAAAAGCAGTAAATAAATAATAAGTAGGTTCATACAGGATATGAGCTTTGTAGCATGCTTACATTTGCAGAAGAAAGACCTGGCATCGAATTCCCGGCAGCTAGTGTGGACCTCATGGTCATAGGGGTAAGACCTTTTAATGCGGAAGGGTTCAAGAGGTCAGCTCTCAACATACGAACTGCTCTTGAAGTTTCAGCTGGCCTTACTGGTAGTACATGCTGAGCTGTAGTGATATTGCTTGGTAATGAGACCTCTCTAGAATCTTTTGCAAGTCTATTTGGAGATCTTGGTCTTACACCACCATAAGGCTGTGATGCATAGGAGGATCTCATTGCCTCCATCTGATGCAACTCACTAGTTCCAGATGATCGTTGGCCGACACTGACAAGCTTCCTATGAGACTGTTCTGCCGATCGAACAGTTTCTGCCATCATCTTATGCTGCTCTTTTTTTCTTTTTTCAATCTCCAGAATAATTTCCTTTTGCCTTCTTCTGCGTATTAGTTTCAGTCGGAGGTCATTTTGCCCCACCCTTACATCTTCACATAGCAGAAACAGTAGAAAATATCAGGTAATGTGATAGACCAAGGACTAACACGTGAAACAGAAAGATATTTATCAAAAGTTAAAGAACCAAAAAAAAAGAGATGAAACCAAAAGATAATTAAGATAATACCATTAGGGCCACCATATCCGGAATCCCCTGCACCTCCATACCCCCGCACACTTGGAAAAAAATGGCAGCAAAACAACCACTCTCAGATAAAATGATAATCAATGCAATCTGGAGCAACTTTAACTTTCACAATGTCATCAGTTACCACAGAAAGACATAAGCATTCGGTATCACTATTACCAATAATTAGTTTAAATATAATGTGTTCATAAGTCTCTGATAGTTTTGCTATCACCTGAATCAGTCAAAACATAACTAAAAAAATAAACAGCCGACACTAGCTCTACCAAAACTATCAGACAGAACAACAATAATGATTGTACCGTTTGCGAAGCGATAGAGGAGGATCCTCAGAGTCAGTCTTATAGGTCTCTCCTAGTGATCTTTTGCCTCCTGACAATCTTTGTTGACCAAAACCAGCTCCCTGAGAAGCTGACGATCGCTTCACCACCTTCTTCGGATTTTAAGAGTCGCAAAAATGTTTAATTAGGAAAATTGAACCTTAAAAAGCAACAAAGTAATAAATTCCTAAGAGGTTTAACTCTGTAAAAGAAAGGCGAAACTAAATTCCAATAAGAGAGGAACATAGGTCTGATGCTTGATAAACAACATTCTGATGCAAAATAAGAGTGAAAAATCGAGAAAGCTTACTTGACCAGAGCGGCCCAATGTGATAGTGACCTGAGGCCTTGACATTTTCGTTTGTTTTGAGATGGTCTCAGCTAAAGCACAGCTAATAACCTTTTGGATTGATCAAATGCTTTCACAAAATCTGAAAGGAATACAGCTAAAATATTAAATGATAGAGAGTAAAAAACGAAGGAACCCTAGAATCGCATTTGACGAAGAATCAGATTCCTGATTTTACTCCATAGTTCCGGACTTTAGTCTTTAGTACGGTCGCAATAAAATTGTGTTTTTGGTCTCTCTTTTCCCCATTCATGTGTCGAGAGCTCGTCAACAGTACACGCCCCACAGTATTGTGCCACGCATATTTGGCAATGCTGTACTATTTACTGTGTATTGAGTACTACTAGTAATAATAAATAAAAGTAAGAATGTATATAATTTACTAGTAAAAATATATCGTACATGACATGCCATACGCAAAAATAATACTATTTCTATATGAAAAGAAAGTATTTTTTTTTTATTAAAATGAAAAAAAATACCTTTTTATATCATAAAAAAACTCATTTATTGAAATGAAAAAAAATCTATCTATAACATGAAAAGAAAGTACTATTAATAATATTTTTATTTAGGGTGGGCTGGAGTAATGTAGCTCCTCTCTCAACAAGTAAAAAAATACAAACTCTTCATTCTCCCTTCAACAATCACTTTCGATGAAGCATAACATATGTCGACTTTGACAACGACAACTGAGAGTTTGTACTTTGATGATAAGCTATCATAATTGCTAAGCTTTTAAAGAGTTGCGCGCCTAACTTTGTCGCTACTAATTGGCATATGTGAAAATATTAGTGCCCCGTCGCGCTCAAATCCTGGGTCCGCGTATGGCCATTCATGCCACTTGCTTGGCAATGCTGTACTATTTACAAGTTTCACCAGCGCAAAAAATTCAGTATTTGATCCCATGAGCAGTTAAATTTTGACTATAATTTCTGTTTCATAGTTTAAAACAATTATTACTTCTTTCCAACTTCCTTTCAATAACAGTGTGATCCAAGCGTTAACAAAACAACTGAAATCATCCCATTTAGTAATTCACCCATCAGTCCAGGTAACTCTGAAATGAAGGTACGTTGGTCCACAAGGTGAAATAACTCAGTCAAATCCCGATTTTAAATGAGACAGGTTCCTTACCTCTCCAGTAAAATGTACAAAAGTGGTTTCGTGTTATGTAGTTCCACTAAGGTAGAACCGTAGAACGGACTCGTGTAATAAGAGATATTCATTGTCCCTTTCGTTTGTGGGTCCTTAATGTTATCAAATATTAATGGTTTTCCTATTTTCCCCTTTTACTTGGTATAAACTCTGTGCTTTATGTTTTTTGTTTTCTCCTTGTTCTCGCTAACTGAAAACATGAATAGAGAATCTCTCCCTCCTCATGTTTGGTGCAGGCATTTGAGCAGCGCCGACCAGTAAATCAGACCTGGAGTAAGCGCATACAAGTCCATGATACATAATTGACGTTGCATATAAACGGGTTTACGTTGCGAAAGTGAATGATGTATTTTAATTTTAATATTAACGCATCATGCACCAGAGAATGAACTTCAGAAAGCATCATTTGGAAATTATAATAGCCAGTTTCGATCCAAAATCAAGATTTGCTTTAGCTGAGGCCACCCAAAATACCCCATATGACTCGTACAATCTTGACGCATCAGAGGACGGTTAGAATATATCGCACTTCTAATCACTCACCCAAGCTCGGTTGACACCACACAATATACTGGATGGGATTTCAGTAACATGTCACATCAGAATTTTGATCGGCTCTTCATCTACTACTCAAATATACATGTACAACAAAAACGTAATGTTCATAGCAAGTAAAGTATATGCCGGAGCATCACATGTTTGCTGTTGTTTCCTTAATCTCCTCCATAGAAATCGCCTGCGAAGCAAAAGGCAGAAGACTCGCCTTAGTAGCAGATATTAATTGCAAAACAGACACTAGGCAGTTATGAGGCACGGACAGCATATAATAGTAACCTTTTTTTTACCAATACTCCTAGAGGCTGATATATCAAGGGTAGAGTAAGCAAACTCATGCTATCATATGCCATTATTAAAAATCTATTGCCAGTTGCGGCTCCCATTTTCTCTTATCAAATCATTCCCTCATTATTATTAACCCACATGACCAGTAGTGACCCACCCCAGTAGATAACCCACTCTCCTCTCAAGTTAGCCAAAAGAACAAAAGAGGAAATGAGCGACTAACTAAATACCCAACCTAAGAAGGTAATTAGAAACCAAGCTTTGCATATTTGCATTTGATATACCTGTTCTTCTCCAGCAAAATCATTATCAGGGGTGAGAAAAAGCATGCAGTGGCACTCCTTCCTGTAATGCAAGTTTTAAGGAGGATGAGAAAGACAGTAAGGCGACAAAAGTAGACTGATCAACACAGAACTTAATTGGAGCTTTTATAGATGATAAAATACTAAACCATAACGTCCACGGCTACTTGGATTGACACACAGAGTGAAATGGTTATGACCAGATATATATGATAGCACACGTAATTGAGCTAGAAACATTCTTATTTTTATGAGGTAAGATTAATTGAGCTAGAAACATCGAATGGCAAAGGACACACAAAGGCAACAGACAAGTTATCCTTAAATTCATGCACCCATAAGCTGAATAATAGATCTTTAGAATGCAGAATATTGATTTTCTACTTACAAGATCTTCTTCTGCTTTTCTTTTTACCCCCAGAAAGCAAAAACGAAGTGTGATCACCAGAATACAACAAGTCTATAGATACAGGCAAAACTCATTTTACCTCTCTCTCATTGGTACACATGGACAATTCCAGAAGCCCTGCTGCGCTTCTGCAGCTTTGTCGTCATAATGCCTGAAAAATTAAAATGATAACAACATGGTACAGTTCATGGTAATAACGATTACAAAGGTACTGTGGTAACAGGTAAGGAGCAAAGCATGAAAACCATCAGAACAAATGTGTTAGGAGTGAATATTTACCTGCAGGGGCAGAGTGGCGCACCCAATGTATCCTTGTGCTCTGCCAATCCCTAAGCATATGTCAAAAAATACCATTAATTAAATCCTGTCCTCGATGTAGATGTTTCAATAAGGAATATAGGAACCACTGGGTGTAGGGACTAAGACATCCTAACAAGAACAGTACTAAACTATAAACCACCTATGCTCCACCTAAATGGAACCTAAGATTATTAAGTTTTCAAAGACACCAATGAATGTCTTTCATATGTGCATAAATCAGACAATCGTGATATGCTTCTTACATGTATTTCTAGTAAAACATCTTAATAAGTTGTGAAAGTTAAGGAGTTCCTTAACACACATCATTCCATTTTTTTGTGTGTGTTGGGGCGGGGGGGACTAAATCTGTACAGGTCTGTTTTTTCCTTTTTGAAAAAAAAACAATTACTATTAAAAAGACAAAGTACGGGTCTCTGTAGCAAAAATTACTTTTCAAGGATAAAGATATTCTGGTTAGTTGTAGTATTCTGTGAATCTAGACTTAGGTCCTAAAAATGACTAATTCTTTCGTCTCCTCAAGATTATTAATAGTTACAGCGTCTCTGTATGCAGATTCATTCATGCTTAGCCTACAGACTTCTTAAATATCTTCTCGATTCAAATTTCTAAAAGGTGATATTTCGGTTCTTTGTAGAGCAACATAATTTAGAAAACTTTGTAAGACAAAAAGCATCCAACACCGAAAGGGAGAAGTCATAATGGCTATCGAATAATCAAATAAAACTAATCCTACAACTACAAGCTATCAGACTAATAAATGATACTCCTAAGTCCTAAGGCAAGTTCCATTACACGCTTGGAAACGTCCTTATGTTTTGATGCTCTATAAAAACGCAACAGGATACTTACCACAACTGCATATAAAATTCACTTCTTTCCATTGGGAAGTATGTTTTCCATAGGTTACTTTTGATGTGGCTGAGGCTTTAAAACCATTTTTTAGATTTTGGATTTAACCTCCCGTTCACCTTGGTTGCTGCTAACTGTTATTATTTTTGACATTTTATTGCTATCATTGTTGTTATTTATTCGGGGGTAGCTATTATGTTCAATAGGTAAATCATGGATGTAACCCAACACAACCAAGAGGATCCTCAACTACCCCAACACAATCCAGGCGAGCACCCTTCCATGTTATCAAAAGACTTCTCCTTATCCACTCCCTTGCCCTGTTGATATGGGGCTTCTAGTGTTCATAGCTCTCCTTCAACAGAATAGCTTTTCCATGGTTTGCAATCACACTACAACTTCCTCGTGGCTCTTCATAAAGAAGGATTGCGTTCCATCATGTTCCACCTTAAAATAAGGACACCATGTTTGATCAATCTTTGTGATTGGCCTCTGTCCGATCTATTAAGTCCACCACTGTCATTTTTCTTTGAAACAACTGCGATATATCCTATTCATCTATCTTGGTTATGAGATGATAAATCTTTTACTCACATTATCATAATTTCTCAACTTTTATTCCCTTCTTTGCGCCAAAATTGGCATTTTATATATTAAGCTCTTCTTTTCCATTGTTCTTTGTTTTTATTTCCCCTCTTACACATCTCTTTTATTACATAACTAGACGTTATACTGTTGTTCTCTCTTATCCTCATTTTATGTCATAAGATGTCCCCTTGGTTCAAGGATTTCCACTTCTTGAAAGCTCCAAAATTCAAATTTATATGTTCACCAACCAACTTAGAAACATGCTTCCATAAGATGCACAAAAATACACCTCAACCTAAAATATACTAACTGAAAGATACCTGGGCAAAAGCAACCACCTATTCAATCTTTAAAACCAAGGGAGCACATTGACATGAAAATTATTATTTCTACAGTAATTTACCAGCTGACAAAGAAATACCACAAGCTGAAGCAGTGAATTTGACATTGACCCTCTCTATTAGTTGCTAATCAACAGTCACAAAATCATAGAGTAAATAATAAAACAACATTAATATGCTATTGAAGACAGCTTTCATGGAGAGTGGAGACTAAAGGCCCTTGTCGCAAAATTCAATCCCTAAGACAGAATCTCAGTAAGTGAAATAGAGAAGATTAATCATTTGCCACACCTAGAGATAAAAATAGGAAAATATGATATGAAACACACGCAAAAGTCATAAACATACAAGTGCATATAGGAAGTGCAGAACAGAGGTTATTATTATAGCAGCTGCAAGCAATCGAATGATCATTAAAATAAATGTGGAAGGGAAACGAAAGTACCTTGATGACCACAGAAGTTACGCCTTTGTCCA